CTTCCTCCCCACTCTCCTCCCTGGCTTCACTGGTGTGAGGCTTGACTCTCGCTGCGAGGGGCAGGATTCGTCAGCTGTCCTCTGGAAAGTGACCACCTGTGGGGAAGGAGGAAGGAGTCTCCTCTCCAGGCCTCTGGGTGCCAGGATTCAGGCCCAGCATTTCTGTTTTATTCCGTTGCCCCGACACCCATGGGAAATGTACAGCCACCCTTATATTTCTGAAAAGGAGATCAGGACTCAAGGTCAAAATCATCATGACACCCACTGCCCCCTCTGCCACCCCTACTCAGGGACCCAAGAGCAACAGGAAAGAGGATGCCAGCCAGGGCTGGCGGAGTCCGAGGATTTGTGTTAAATAGTTGTGTATCGACTTTAGTATGAGTCAGGAAAAAAATCAGAACTAGCCCATCCAGCCCCTTCATGCCAATGTGTTGAAGTAAAACTGCGAGTCACCGTGAGGAAAAGCACTATGTAAACATTATGCATAACGGGGAACACAAAGGCAGGTGCCCGCTTGTCACTGGAGGCCTGTTGCAGGTGACAGAGCCTGGCCTTTTGCACTGGCTCAGTCCCCATTCTCAGTGACAGGTGACGTCAGCCAACTTTGCCTGATTTAAGAAGTAGAGGAAAATCAGAAAGATATTCCTGCCTAGTACCATCTGCACCTTGCATGGCGCCCCCAGGTTAGGGACAAGGTCTCAGGGTCCCCAGAGGTCCTCATCAATGATTCTGCAATGGAGCAGCAAAGATAGTGGCGGAGAATCCTCCAGTGATAACAATCCTCTTCCTCTTCCTTCTCTTCCTCCTCCTCCCCACCCTCCTCCTCTTCCTCCTCCTCCTTTTTCTCTACTTCTTTATCACCCTCATCATCATCTTCGTCACCATCATCACCGTCATTACAGACCACTAGCGTGTATTGAGCAGTTGTTATCTGCCAGGCGCTAGGCACGTGATGTGTATGTGATTTTTACAGTTTCTTCGATGGTGCTCTGAGATGAGGATTATTTCCACGGAGGCACAGAGAGGAAAAACAAGTCACCTAACTCACCCAGCATCGCCTGGCACTCGCAACTGTCTGACCTGGATAATGGCTCAGACTGGGGAGAGTAGGCGGCAGCCAGGGCAGGGATGAATCCTGCCACATGACTGGTCCAGGAAAGGATGCTGTCACTAGGCCTGAGTGGACACTGCAGCCCTGAGGTCTCTGCTCTGATTTCACTAGGAATGTGCTTCCACTGACAGACCCCTGTCTACACAGGGCCCCGCTCCTGTGAGCTCCTGATTTCTAATAAGATCTGGGTGTGTGTGGGCACGGGTCCTCTGCCCAGTCCTGGCACTGCTCCTGAAACCCTTGCAGTCTCCAGAGAGGTCAGTGTCTGTTGTACGATAATGAGCTGACAGGTGGCTGGGGCCTCTGGATAGCATCAGGGTGTGTCTGGCCCCCAGAAAGACCCAGGCAGGCTCAGAGGTGGAAACTCGGCCCTGCCCTACTGTGACCTCTGGGGAGGGCACCCGGGCTGTAGACTGAATGGCCCAGCAGTGACAATGCGTTCGTCCATCATGCGCCTCAGGAAGCTCTGTAAAGCTCAGACGGTGGGTTTGGGGGACTTCAGGGCAGTGGAGGGCGAGGAGATTCCTGAGGGTGGCGTCTGAGAGGGCAGGGCTACTCCGCCCTCCCCACCTCCCCCCTGTCTCCTCCATTGGCTGTTCTGTGCCCTTCCTAAAGGCCTCTAATAGGCAGATGCAAGCATGTCCCCAGGTTCTGCTGACCAAGGAGGGGGTCATGGGAACCCCCAGTTTATAGCCAGTCGGTGAGAAGCACAGGTCACAACGTGGGGCTTCCAAATGGCATCTGAAGTGGGGGCCAGTCTTTTGGGACTGAGCCCTCGACCTGTAAGGATGGACCGTGTCCAGGTAAGTGGTGGCTAACGTACAGGATGCCCAGTCGGGGTCTGCTGGAGGACCCCCCTGGGTGCTGTGTGACGGGAACCTGCCGAGTATCTGGTGGCAGAAGTGTTACGTGGAATAACTGCGAGTGCTGGAAAAGTCTCTTTCCTATCTCAAGTAGGTGCTCAATTAAAGAGGAGCTCGCATATCCATCTGCTGGCCCGGGTCGCACACCTTACAGGACAGCTGGACTCTGCAGAGGGTGGGTGGGCGCTGCCCCCAGGGCTCCTGGGGAAGGCAGTGCCCGGCTGGCTGCTCTCCGACTTTTTCATCTCGGGATCCTTTTGTGTTTTGTTGTTGTTGATGTTTGCTTTTTTTTGTTCTTTGGTTCTGGGAACTAGCTCTTTGAAAAGTTGTCACTTCTGAGGACATTCTAGGTGGGTTGTATCTATGGATATTTGTCACGTTGGAGATAAAAAAAAATACTTGTCCGTTTAAAATAACGATGATCCACCACATATTTAATAGATCCCCTGGTCCGGGACACCCGTGGCCATGTTTGCTCTCCTTTCACTGCTTGGCTTACCCGGCAGCTGGACTCGCCCCTGCTCCTGCGTGGCTCTGGGCAGCAGCATTAGGAAAATAGCCAGAAGGTTCCAGGGACCCAGGGGTTCTCTGACCTCCCTTGAGAACAGGGGTGCTAAGGCAGGGCGAGTCAGTGGTCAGACAAGCCAGTACCCAGAGCGTGTCCTCGGTCCCCTGAGCCAGAGCTCCTGACCCTTCAGCGCATCAACTGAATGAAGAATAGAAGTCGTCACAGCAGCTCAGACGTCACCTCAGCCTCAGGTTCCCTTCTCACCTTCTGTAGGGGTCACCTGCCACCTCCATCCAGGGGGTCCCGCCAGATCAGGGCAAGAGGCTCCCATGTTCTTGGGTCGGGTGATGGAGGGACATTCTCCACAGTGTCACCGAGGTCCTCAGAGGGCCACAAGGTCCTCGATTCCCCACTCTTTTTACCTGCCCCACTGCCGGTGCGCCACAGGGACCATCTCCCCTCTAACCTGTGACCTTTGAACCTCCACCTCAGGGTCTGCTCGTGGGGAAGCTGCAGGTGCCGTAGCTTCTTTCTTATTATTCAGTTTTAATGTGTTCCCACATTTTTATTGGGGCGTTCTAGCTGTCCACGGTGATGGGATTCATTGTTCCGTCTTCGTACGCCACACGGTACTCTCTGCAGCTTCCTGAGCCTCTGACACGTCTGATCTCCGTTTAGCAGGGAACGTTGGCCTGGGTATTTGTTGAATGACTGTGTCCCTGCGGGGCTGTAAGTGTCATGCGAGGGCACCGAGGCTCACTTGTCCTTTAACAAATTATTCGTACCGAGCACAGTCCTCGGCACGTGGGATTCTTGGAAAGACGTGTGTTGACTGACTGAACGATGGAATGAATGAGGTCCAGAAACCCTACCGTGGCTGTCAGCAGAGACCCTGGGAAGCAGTTATTGACGGAATAAATGAATGATCCGATGGGTGGACGTCACACTGTGCGGACCTGTGTTCTGGGACGCGGGTGTCAACTGTCATTTAGAGCATTATGCACCGTTCTTTGTGGAGGGACTGTGTCCTGCCACCTGTATATCGCAGCCTTCCTGCTGAGAACCAGCTCCCTGCCCTGACCAGGTAAGACCTTGTCTTCCGTAGGCCACCTCAGGCCTGAGGGCTCTGGCTACCCAGTCATGGCTGAGGCTGCTGCTCTCATGGCCTGGTCACTGCCCGGGTCTGGGCCTGGAAGTCCTCCTTCCCATCCCCCGCTGACATCAGCCACATCCTCCATCTTGCCCCAGCCTCCTGTGGCTCAGGCTGCGGCCTCTCCAGGAGTCACCTGGCTCCTTGCCTGGAGCCTCCCTGAGGTCTGGTTCACCTCCTGGGGCTGCTACAGGAAAAGGCCAGGGGCCCAGGGACCCGGAGGCTTTAACAGGAAGTGCATCTGCCCACAGTTCTGAGATCCGGGTGTGGCAGGTCCGGGTCCCTCTGAGCCTCTCTCCTTTCTTGCAGGTGGACAGACACCTCCTCACCCCCCGGGTGCCCCACGGTCCACCCGAGTGTCGTGATCTCCTCCTTCTAGGAGGGCGTGCGTCTTCCTGGGTCAGGGCCCAGCACGGGACGTCACTTGAACATCGTCACCTCTTTGAAGACCTTGTCTCCAAGCACAGTCACAGCCGAAGGCAGAGAGGGTGGGCATCTCAACATGTGGATTTTACGGGGACCCAGTTCAGCCCTAAATGAGATGCACTCACCGAGTTCCACGTCCCCCTTGGAAACTCGGGATCCCTGGGGCACCCACTGGGGGACAGGGGACTCGGCTTGCTGACTCGGGTCTCTCCGCCTGACTGCACCATGTCCCCATCTTAACCCCGCAGCACTTGCCCTCACTGGAACAGGCCCCTGGTCTCCTGATGTCCCGGGAATTGGAGCCCTGCCCCCCGGGTTCCAGAAGGGCGTACGGAGAGCAGCATTTGGACCCAGCGGCCACGCTCCGTATCCACCAAGACCTCACCTCCCAGGGCCCCGGCTCCTCACCTGTAAATGGCCTAACCACCGTACGTGCCCCCGAGTTGGTTATAAGAACTGAATTCACAGGAATAAAGTGTGAAGAACTTTAACGCATGTTAATCAATATGCACAAACACGTTTACAAACATTTAATGAATCCGTAAACTACCCGGAGCTGTCACCCTGCACCACGTGATGGTGCTGAGTCCTCTGACCTCGTCTTTCTTCTCCCGCCCACGTTTCCCGAGCGCTCCCCTCCTGGGTATCCCTGTCCCTCCTTCATGGTGTCTGTCACCTTCCAAGGGAACCTTCCTTCCACACTGCCCTGGGTTCATGAGGGGCAACTGCAGGGCAGGCAGGTCACGGGGCAGGTGGTGTGTCCCAAATGGGCTGATTTAATATTTTAAAACTCAAGTCAGAGCCAGGAGGATGTGGCTTCTTCCCTCCCCAGGCTCAGTTCTCAGTGCTGGAAACAGCCCAGAGCTCAGATTCAAACCCCGGCTCTGCCCTTTATGCCTGTGCATCCTGAGCACATTGCTTTCCCCCTCACAGCCTCGGTTTAGACTAGAATAATAACAGAAACTACGGGGGCGGGGGGTGGAAGGAGGCAACCCACGTAAAATTCCCAGCAGGCCAGGTATGCTGCTGCACGCCTGTGATCCCAGCAGCTCAGGAGGCTGAGGCAGGAGGATTGCAAGTTCAAGGCCAGCCTCAACAATTTAGCAAGAACCTCATCAACTAGCGAGACCCTGCCTCAACATTAAAAAATAAAAAGGGCTGAGGACGTGGCTGGGTGGTCAAGCATCCCTGGGTTCAATTCCTGGTGCAAAAAAGAAAAAAAAAATTCTGGCAGATGATTCACACATAATAGCTATTAAATAATTAATAAGAAAGTTCAACAGTCCGCTGATAACTCTGGTCACACAGACCAAAGGGCTGCCATGGTGCCGGCCACACACCTAACAAGCACAACCTCCAAAAAAAAAAAAACACGGGTAAAAATACAAACAAGACGTATTCAAAATTGCTGAAGTCGTCCCAGCTACTTCTGTTACAGAGGAAACTGGAACAAACCAAATATTGGGATTGGGTCTGGAACTGAGGCCACTGCCCCAGGGTGATGGAATTCCAGCCAGGAGCCGGGGAGAGCTGGGGAGGGATCTCTCGGTCTCCGAACATGCAGAGGACAGAGGCACACTGTCTGCCTCTCAGCCCTGCATCGAAGAAGAAAAACAGGAATTAGCATTTGGGCCCATGGACATGCCAGGATGACTCACCGCCAGGCCAAACCTGGGCCCTGTCCAAAAGCCACTCGCCAGGACAGCCGGGAAAAGGCAGTGGTCACAGGCCCAGCTTTGTGATGTCGGGGGCATTGCCCCTTTATTTCCACCACTTAGGCATCGACGGTGGCCTCTCCCTGCACTCTGGCTGTTGGGGGGCTGGGGGAGTGGGGGGCTCTGGGTCCCCACCCAGAGTGGCACTTCTGTCTGTGCTCAGGAGCTAGCAGGGTTTGGGTTGGGCGCACAAACCAGGAAGGGCACGCCCCTCTCCTCAGCCCACCACCCTCCCCTGACTGCCACAGCTGTGGTGCTGAGCCTCAGATTGTCCCCTTATTGATCCCCGCCCCCCCATAATGAACTGTAACAACAACTCCATTACTCTGCCCTCGCCCATTGGCTAAGGATAATATAAAATTAGCCAGCGTGCATGGGGCCTCTCAGGATCGATTTCCCTACTCAGATTACTTGTTACGAAAGAATAGAGCTGTCTCCCCCGTAATTGAACAAGTTAACTCCTGGTCTCATAAAATGTAAGCCTGTATTGATTGGTTGTTGTGCACTGGGGTGGGGGCGCCCGGCGAGCTTCCCCCTCCCCGCCTCCCCCTGGGCAGCCCCCTCCCTGGCTTTACGGGTTGGGACAGCCAACGCCGGGATGGACCCAGGCCTGTACGGTTACGGGGAGGGTGGTCTCCAGAGCCCCGTTGAATGCCCTCAGCCCCTGCCTGTCCAAGCCAAGGTCATTTCTACCTGCCTGGCCACTTGGAGCTTTGGATTCCTGCAGATCTGGATTCGAATCCTGATTCTGCTAGATGTCACCTTGGAGTGGGTACCCAGTTCCTCTGAGCTAATAATAATAATAGCATTCAATAAGATAGATGATATTACTTAATATCTAATATTAATGGTATTTCTAAGGTTATGTAATGTCCATGAAGACCGTGGCCACAGCGCCTTAGCAGTCCTGGGCGGTTCCGAAGGGGTAACCCTGTGGAGGGCCAGGCAGGCCGTGGGCGCCCATCAGTGGTAACGGCTGTTGGTTTGGAGCATGTTTTCATGCTCGTCCATAATAGGAAACCATCCAGGTAACTAAGGAAGTTAAAATGCATGATTTCCAATTTGAAGGGTTATGGAGACTTCAAGGAGTGGGGGGCACAAAGCCCAGGTTCAAACCCCTGCGACCAGCTTTCTTCTGCGGTGAGGAGCCGCGGGCTTCATGATGAGTGATTTAAACTGCAGAGACGGTGCCACCCAGAAAGGAAGAGCCCATCCTGGCCACCACGTCGCCAGCCACAGCTGGCCACTCCGGCCCCCTCCACCTGTGCGGCCCCGGCTTCTGACACGGCCTCCGCAGACCTGGCCAACGGGGCCACCTGCCGCCGGGAAGGTCTCGTGTTCCCTGGGTTTGGGAGCCTTTCCCCCGGCCCACACATCAGTCGGCTGTGGGCAGCTGGTGCCTGGGAAGGCCAGTCTTCAAGGCGACCGTCGCTGTTGACTTTGGCTGGGAGGTGCAAGGGGAGAGGAAGGCAGGGGGCCAGGAAGAAAAGAGATCAGCAGTGACCTGGGACTGAAATCTGGGCTCCTGGGCATGGCCAGGGAGAAGCGTGGCTGTGAATGGTGGTGTGGGCAGGTAGATGTTGCCTTCACCTAGGTATGAGGGTGCGAGGCTCCTGGGCAGCCAGGAGGAACAGTACTCATCCGGGAATTGCCTCTTTGTCATGCAATTTGGGAGCTTTTTGTTTTAATAATAATCACATCAATATTAGCAATAGTGTCGGTGCTTATGGGGAAGGCTTATGAGGGGCCAGGTTCCATCCCAGAACTTGGTCCGTGTTTGCTGACAGAAAATGGCCAGCAGCCCTCCCTCTAGGTGACATTACTAATAGGCATCGCTTGGTCAAAACCTACTGTGCGCGTGTGCTGGGGAACTGTGACACGGTCACCCCGTCCATCCTCACTACATGGTACATGTGGGACAAAGTCCCAGACCCCTGAGTGTTTTAGTGGCTGTTTTGTGACCCTAAAGACCTGGCATGAGCCACATAAAGGAGGGAAAGTTTATTTCGGCTCATGGTTTGGAGGGGAAGGCCCCTCGTTGGCCAGCTTCATGGCTCTGGGCCCAAGGGGACGCAGAACATCATGCGGAAGGGCACGGCAATGAGGGAACGGAGAGCTCTGCTCACCAAGGACAAAAGAGAAACCCGGAAGGCACACCTCAGGTGACAGGCTTCCCCCAGCCACACCCCACCCGCCTACAGTTACCCCCCAGTTAGTTCCCAGCAGTGGGTGGATCCAGCGATGAGGGCGAAGCTCTCACAAGCCCCATCAGTTCACCTCTGAACCTTCTCGCACGGTCTCGCCCATGAACTCTGGGGACACCTCAGATCTGAACCACGATGCTGAGCGAGGCCCTGCAGGACCTGCCTGCTTTGGCCCCAGGCCACCTGGCCGCCACTGTGATCCCCCTTCAGTAGCTTGCTCCTACTCCAGATGGGCCAGCCTCCTTCTGGTCCTAGAGCAAACCAGACTCTTCCTTCTCTGAGACTCCCGGACCCGTGGGTCCTCGTGCAACCTGAGGCTGGGGATTATCCACGTCCAGAAGGCTGCCTCTTCCCCAAACCTTCCCAGGCCACCCTGGCGCTAAAGGGCCACCGTGCCGTCTCTGTCACTCTGCCCTCTTTTACGATCTGCACAGACGTATCCCAGCCCAGAGCATTTGCTGGTTTGTGTTTATTGAATATGTTCCTCTCGGGGGCGTGAGCTTCCAAGGGCAGCGCGTGGTTGGACTGGTCCGCTCCCTTCCGCAGTCTGAAGAGTCTCTGGTTTGAATGTAAAGGCGGACGGGCGGCATTCAGCCTGGCGGTCGGCAGACCTGCAAGAAGGCAGGCGATCAGGGCTGCAGGGGGCGGACAGGTCTTGATTACTTCAGAAAAGTAATCAAGACCAGCAAAATAGTGAGTGGGACACCGTCGGTGCCTCTGTCCCTCAGCTCTTGTAAGGACTTATCCCGTAGTGACGATGCTCAGCAGATGTCCCGGGTCAAAGCCCGTCCAGGAGGCACCTGGGGGTTCTTGGCTTCAAACATTCTCCACCCAGGAGCCTCCTCCTCAGAGCCTGGGCCCCTGGAGGGAGTGAGAAAGCATTTGAAGGAAGGCAGAGAATATGCCCAGGTGAGTCTCAGGGGTTTGCTAGAAACCTAAAAAAGACGCAGTTACTCATTTTGGAGCAACTTCTCTATACCCTTACTCTTGATTTTCCTGCAGAAAAAAGTTCATTTTTAAGTATATAATAACATATGCCTTTTATCGAAAAGTTCAAAGCTTGAGGAAAATCAAAAAGATTCAATTATCCTTAAAACCGCAATTTCATTGTTCTGATGACTGTTGCTGTTTGTTTTGTATATTTCAGAGTGTTTTCCTGTTTAGATGGGATACACATAAACACACACACCACCCGTACAGGGTACTGGTCATTCTATTTTGTGAGATTTTTCTTCATTTATCATTATAGTCTGGGTCCCTCCCCATGTTGGTGAATATATATTTAAAGTAATCTTTTGTAATAACTACACAAGGCAGTGTTTTTCAAATTGCAGGGTGAGACCCATCCGTGGGTCAGAAAATGAGTTAAGCAGACCAAGTATTTAAAAAAAAAATGAAGCAAAAGAATATCATTATGTAGAAGAGAAAACAGACTATTAGATTGGCAGAGATAAGAATTTTAAAAAAGGTTCTGTGTAGTTAAGCATCTCTGTGTATATCAGATTGTGATATGATATATATTTATTACATGATTCAAAAAAGTTTTAAAATTTCTGGTATGCTCTCTATGAGATTTACCAGAACTGATTTAACCCATCAAGTTTATACATTGTGTTATCTGTTTGTTGCTGAATTCTGCATGTTTTTTTCTAGTTATTTCCTTAAGATTTCTAATGGAATTAGAGTGGGTCCTAGGGTATGCCCATTTTCAATGTGTTTTCCAGAAAAAAAAAAAGAGTCAATGTATATTCTGTTGGGAAAATGTCTGTACTCTGACTACCACCAGTTTTTATTACCACCAGGTTCTGTTATCATTTAATAGCATCAACCTGGTGGTTTTAATATAATATCAGATTATCTAGAATAGTAACTAACCTGCTTTGTGGCTATCTGTGCTCCTGGCTCTTTGTGAAGTGCTTCATCAGCTCATTATCTCCTTTGATGCTTACATTCACTTTCTGAAAGATATGCTTCTGTTATTTCATTTGCAGATGAAGAAGATGGAGCTTAACAAAAGATCTGAATTCTGGTAGAATGAGATTTGCATTCCTGCCTGACTGTCAAGGGCATGTGTATTTGTCAGCTTTCCACTACTGTCACAAATACCTGAGATAGTCAACTTATAAAGACAGAAGGTTGATTTTAACTCATGTTTCAGAGTTTTCTGTCTATGACTTATTGCCCTTGTTGCTTTGGGGCCTGTAGTGAGGCAGTGCATTGTGGGAGGTAGCACATGGAGGAGCAAAACTGCTCATCTCACAGCTGGGAAGTAAAAGAGAGAAAGAAGAAGAGACCAGGATCCCACAATCCCCTTTGAGAGTAAGCTCTCAGTAACCTGGGACCTCCCATTAGGCTTCATCTCTTAAAGGTTCTGCCACTTCCTGATAATACCACACTGGGGACCAAGCCTTGTTAATACAGGTGACTTTGGGGACCTTCAGTACCCCAAGCATAGCGCCACACATGCCTTTTACCATAGTCCTCAATGGACTCTCAGGATTATGATTCGGCACATAGCAGGTGTCTATCATCTGTTTACCAAACAGTGCTAATTCAAAGCATTTTCAAATACATTTGAGTGACTCTTCAAAGTCCTTACACTGAGTCCCTTGGGAATTTAGGGTGCAGAGTTTGGCCCCAGGATTGAAAAAAACAGAAAGATAACTTCTTTAACTGGGTTATACACTCTCCAGAGATGTTCTTGGGGGATATAGAAAACCACAGGATAAACAAGCAATATCTTCTTGAAGCCTTAATTTATGCCAAAATTTTGAAGGGAAATGTTATTTTCATATTTAAACAACCACTGATATACTACAGAGTACAAAAAAGTTCAAACACCAAACTTCAAATAGATTTTATGTTGCTTCAGGCAGTTGTATCAATCAGTATGGGCTAGGTTATGCTGTGGTAACAAACAATCCCCAAATCTGTTGTTTGAAGCAACAGACTTCATTTCTTGATGAGACAATCATGTCTACTGCCTGTCATCTGGGGGCTCTGCTCTACTTCATCTTTACTGTAGGATCCAGGTCAGTGGAGCAGCCTTACAGGGAAGAAGGGAATTGTGCTGTGCAAGGTCTCAGACCAGAAACTACATGCTTAGCCTGGAAGTGACGCATGTGATTTCCACTCAGACTCTTTGGCCAGGACTAGTCACACTGCCTCACCCAACCTTCCTTTAGGAGCAGGAAATACGATCCCACCAAATACACAAAATGTAAAGAACCAGACGTATCTGGGGAGTGTACTAACCACTGCCATGTTGTTTGGGGGCTCTGCCTCTTACTCTTGGTATTTTGACATCTGAAAAAAACAACATGAAAACTTCTCTCTATATTATTTTTACAAAAACAAGGTGGAAGATTGTTTCTCTCTCACCTCGTAGACTTGTGAAGATAGGAGGTGGTGGGGTGGTGCCTAGCGACGAGACTCCAGGGCCTGCCTATCCTCTTGGCCTCCCGACCCGAATCTACTTCGTGGTTCAGGATGGCTGGCCCAGCCTCTGCTGTTAGGTTTCTATTCCAGCTAGCAGGGGGAAAAAAATCTATTTTAAAAATTTGATTTTATTGAGATATAGTTCACACATTGTGCAATTCTTTCATTTAAAATATATAATGCAAAGGATTTTCACGTATTCTCAAACCTGCCTGAGTGACCATCACATGGTCAGCTTTAAAACATATTTTCCATCCCATAAACACCTCCCATGTGCTATGGCTGTCACTCCCCACACCCCACCCCTCCCCCATTCTAGGTCACCACCAGTCGGCTTTCTGGTGGTTTTTTCTATAGATTTCCCTATTCTATACATTTCAGATGAATGGAATCATATTTGGCTGTTTTAGTGAGCTTCCCCCCCACACACTGTGACCAAAGGACCTGACAAGAACGGTTGGAGGAGGGACAGTTCATTTGGGGGTTCATGGATTCCGAGGTCTGAGTCTACCGATGGCCGACTCCATCTGAGAAGATGCAGAACGTGATGGAGGAAGGGTGGGGTGGGGGAAAGCAGGTCAGGACAGGGCCACTAAGAAGCAGAGAGAGCTCTGCTCAATGAGAACCCAGTATCAACCCCCAAAGCACCCCCCAGGGACCACCTCCTCCAGCCCCACCCTGCCTGCCCGCAGTCACCACTCCGTTGATGCCTATCACAGGGGACTCAGGCACGGATGAGGTCAGGGCTCTTATAATCCAATCATTTCATCTCCAAACCTTCTTTTTAAAAAATACTTATTTTGTTTGATTTTACATGGACACAATATTTTTATTTTATTTTTATGTGGTGCTGAGGATCGAACCCAGTGCCCCACGTATGCTAGGCGAGCGCTCTACCACTGAGCCCCAACCCCAGCCCTCATCTCTAAACCTTCTTGCATTGCCTCACCTATGAGCTTTGGGGGGACACCTCACAGCTACACCGTGACAGTGGACTTCTGCAACTGGCTTCTCTTACTCAGCGTGGTGTTTTCAAAGTTCACGCACACTGCACCCCAGGTCAGTACTTCAATTCCTTTGGTGGTTGGATGATATTCCATGTTCTGCCTGTACCACATTTTATTTGCTCATTTATCAGTTGAGAGGCATTTGGATTATGTCCATCTTTTAGTAACTATGAGCCATATATTTAGTTATTCTTCTGTGCACATTTATGTACAGGTTTCTTTGTGGACATCTTGTTGGAATTCACTTGTGTGTACCTTGGAGTTGAACTGCTGGGTCACATGATGACTACTCCATGTTCAACCATCGGAGGAGCCACCAGTCTGTGTTCCAAAGCAGGGGTAACGCTCTCCACCCCCACAGCAGGTGTAGGGTTCCCGTGTCCCACCTTCCCACCCCACTGGCCGGTGTGACTTTTTGGCTACAGCGCTCCTAGTGGCTAGGGAGTGGTAATGCGTTGTGATTCCCATTTTGATTTCCTTGATGACATTAATGATATCCAGCACCTTTTCGTGTCTTATTGGGCATTTATATGTCTTCTTTGAGGAAATATCTATTCGCCTCCTTTTGCCCATTCTTTAATTAGGTTATTTGTCTTTGCAAGACTACTTTACATATTCCACGCTGCAAGTGCCTTATCATATATATAATTTGCCAAAGTGTCCTTCTATTCTGTGGGTTTTCTTTTCATTTTCTTGACGACGTCCTTTCTAGCAAAGTTTTTGATTTTGAAGTTCAGTTTTTTTTCTATTTACTTATTCATTCAGTCCTGGTGTCGTAGCTAAGAACTCTTTGCCAAGTCCAGGGTTGTGAAGGTTTAAGAGTTTTATAGTTTTATAGTGTTTAGCACTTAGAGCAAGGTCTTTGATTGTCTAGAGTTAATTTTTGTAAATGGTGTGAAGGGAGGGTCCCATTTCATTCTTTTATATGTGACTATCTGCTTTTCCCACTTTTTCAAAAATACTATTCTTTCCTCATTGATCTTTTCACCCTTGTTAAAAATCAGCGGTATCACAGAATACAAGATCAATGTGCAAAAATTAATTGTATTAATTCATTGCATTAAATAATGTGAAAATTTCTCACTTTCAATGAGCAGTTCAAAACTGAAACTGAGAAAACAATTCTATTTACAATATCATTAATAAGAAGAAAACACTTAAGAATAAATTTAGCCAAATAAGTGCAAATCTTAACAAAAACTGCAAACTATTATTGAAAGAAATAACATAAAATCTAAAAGGGCAAAATATTTCATGAGTTTCATGGATTTGAAGACTTAACATGTTATAATGTCTATATTCCCCAAATTGATCTCCAGAGTTACTGTAAACCCTGTCAGAATCCCAGCTGACTTCTTTGTATTAATTAATGAAGTTATTTTAAAATTCCTATGAAGTCTGGAGGGATCTCCACTAGCCACAATAATCTTACAAGAACAAACAACAACAATAAAACCCAAAACAGAATAGGAGGACTACTTATACTGCTAGGATTCAAATTTAACTATCAAAGTAATGGTCATCAAGACTGTGTTGTACTGCATGTGGTACTGGCCCAAAGAGAAACAGATTGATCATGGAAGAGAATTAAAAATTCTAAAATGGGTTCATTTATTTTTTTCACCTAAGATTCAAAAAATAAATTGTATTAGCTTGGCACGACTGTAACAAAATACCTGAGGTAGATAAGTTTATAAAGAGAAAGAGTTTGTTCTACTAATAGTTTTGTTTTGTTCAAGGGCATGGTGCCTACATCAGCTCCGTTCTGGTGAGAACCTCATGTGGAATGGTAGGCAGCAATGGAGGAAATGTACTTAGGAGCAAGTGGTCACATCTCAAGCCAGAGGCGGAGAAGAGGAGGATGGGCAGGGCCATCTTGCTCTGGTGTGAACTGCCTTTTGCCCTCACGACCTAAGTTCCCCACCACAGGCCCCACTTCCTGAGGTTCCACCACCTTCCCACAGTTCCACCTCAGAGACTGAGACTTTTATCACCATGAGCCCTTGGGGGACACCAGTCCACGCCTGGAACATAGCATAAATGAAAAGTGACAGTTTTGATCCTCAGATGGCACGGTTCCCTCACTTCTTCCTGCATCACAGAAGTTACGTGGCCCACGAACTCCACGAGGTGTGAGGGAGAAGAGAGCAGGTCACCATGGAGGGAGGGAGACCGTCTTTCTCACCCAATGTCTTGTGTTTTGCTTTCAGGACATTCTGAGGGATGGAGTTTTCCAAGCACAAGTTGGATTTAAAGATTATTTTTATCTTTTTTTAATTGGACAAGGGGGTGCAGATGATGTCCCCAACAAACCACAATTAAAGGTCCTAGGGATAACGCCCGTAGAAGAGAGGAAGAACATGGTGGCTGTCCCATCCTGTCTCCACACAGGCCTTGCCTAGGAGGAAAAGCAATGGTTTCTAAAAGAAATCAGAAGAAAGTTGGCCAACTAAAATGATCGCATTGCTGATTTGAAAGGTGGATCTCTATTGCAATCATTAATACCAACCTCTCCTTCAGGGCATACTGTGCCACGAGGTATTAACTAATGGTAGTCTGAATCCCTCTCAAGTAGAATAATATTTAAAATACTGCTCATTTTCATCTTCGTCTCATTGTTTTAATAAAAATATATGTTTCCATGTGCAGGGCTTATAACATGCATGTATCTATTCATTTACTCAACAAAGCATTGATCTGGAGACCCTGAGGATATAGCAAACATCTTAATCCACTCAGGTTACTATAACAAAATGCCTTAGACTTGATAATTTATAAATAAGAGAAAGTTATTGTCCACACTTGGGGAGGATATGAAGTCCAATATCAAAACACCTTCTGTCCGTCCTCACCTAATGGAAAAGGCAAAAGAGCTACTCAAGTCTCTTTTATAAGAGCTCGAATCCTGTTTATGAGGGTGGAGCCCTCAGGACTTAGTGACTTTGCAAAGGTCCCACCACCCTATCACATTTCACAATAGGTTCCCCCATAGGAATTTGAGGGGCTGCTGACACAACGGTAGTGATACCTCGTTGCTCTCGGGGAGCTGACATTCCAATGGGAAGGGGCTGACGATACCTAAAGAAAGAGTGTGCAGAGTGTCATGTCCAGTACATATTTGGACGCCCAGCTCTGGGTGTGTGCATACCTGTGTATGCGGTCACAAGTCTAGACGTTTGAACACGCTCCTTTGTCATGGACCGCACTTTGAAGGAAAGTTTTGGGAGGCACTAACCTCAAACCTAACCCAAGAACAATGATGGCTTTATGTGCCCTTTGTTCATCCTTCTTTGTGCTATTTAGAAAGAAAAGCAAGTTCTAAGAACCAGTTATTTGGTGAATTCATTTTGATGTATTCATTATCTATTGTTGTGTAACAAATGACTAAAAACTTAGCAGAATCAAATAGCACACTTGTTTTCTGTTTCTGTGGGTTTCTGCTTCTGTGGGTCAGAAAAACAGGCACAGGTCAGTTGGGTCTGTCACTTCAAGGTCTCTTATGAGGCTGCAGTCAGGATGAGGTTGTGGTCTCATCTGAGCGCCTGACTGGGGAGTGACTGTTGGCAGAATTAAGTTCCAGGAGAAGGACTGCATCTTAGTCTATTTCCTGTTGCCGTAACTGAATCATTGAGACCAGGTTAATTTGTAAAGAAAAAGATGTTCATTAGGTTCATGGTCCTGGAAGCTGGGGATTCCAAGAGTCTGGCACGGCATCTCTTCAGTTTCTGGCTGCATCTTTGCATGTCTTTGCTGAGCATCTCATTGTGAAACTAGCTGTGGTCTCTCTTCCTCTTCTTATAAGGCCACTAATGCCATCACAGGGCACCCTCATGATCTTATCTAATCCTAATTACCTCCTGAAGGCCCCTCAATATCAGTAGCCTATGAATTTGGGTATTAGATTTCAACACGTGACTTGGGGGGGCAGGTTGAAACCGCAGCAGGCTGTTGGGCTGGGGATCTGCTGGCCAGACACACCTTCAGTTTTTGTCACATGGGCGTCTCTGACAGGGCAGCTTGCTCCATCAACTTGGGTACAAGCCAAGAAGATGAGAGAGAGCTGAATGGCAGACTGAAGTCATGATCTTATGTAACCCCATTACAGAAGAAGCCACACCCGTCACCTTTGCCACATTCTCTTCCTTAGACACAAAATTCCTCCCTCACTCCCAGGTGAGGTTGGGGTGGAGGGGTCACTAGCTGGAGATGGGCATCCCTGGCTGGAGGCCTTGCTAGACCTTGTCTGGGTGGTGACCCACTTTCTGGCTCTGGGGCCTGGTGACCCCAGGGCCCAGTTCTCTGAGAATAAGCGGGTGGTTCAGAAGAAGAGAGTGAGGGAAGCCCGGGTGTGCTTCCCAGCTCCTACCCCCCTGCCCTCGCCCCTCCTGGTCCCTTTACGCTCTTCCTTCTGCAAGCTGGCTCTCTTGCTGCTGCCCCTCCTGCCCCTTCAGCTTGGAAGGAAACCTTCTGCACCAGCCTAAGCCCAGCTCGCCCTCCAGAGCCCAGGCCAAGGGCCCCTCCTCCGGGAGCTTTCCTCCAGGATGTGGCTACGCGCCCCCCCCCCAGGCCTATTTCACTTTTCTAACCATTCACGTCTCTCTCGTTTACATCCTTTCTGGTGTAGGAGACAGTGATTGGTTCAAGCAAAATCATCAGTCTCCTCATTGGCTGGTAAAATGGGAACGCCCAGGAGTGGGCTGACTTCAGGCACAGAAGGATCAGGGGCTTGGACAGGCGCAGTGGACCTGGTCCTTGGCCATCATTCATACCACTCTTCTCTCGGAGTCTTTTCCACAGCATCCACAGGGGCGGGCACATGATTTGTGTGGTACTGCTAAGCCAACTATGCCCAACTCCAACTTAAAAAAAAAAAAGTGGCTCTTTGTCCACAGATTGCAGCTCGTGGCTGGCTCTGATTGGATGGCTTGTTCAGCCTCAGCCAATCACAGTGAACGGGTGCCAGGAAGGAGGCGAAGGTGAGGCTGGTTCCCTGGAGAAAATCCATCCAGGGGACCCTTACCTGAAGCAGCAGAAACGGGTGCTGGGTGCTGGGTGCTGGGTCGTGCGGAAGCCCCGGCTGTCCAGGCCTGTTTCCCCAACAGACTGCGAGCCCCTGGCGGAACTGGCAGTCGTTGATTGGCAGCTGTTGACACTCCTTTTGGTGTTCCCAGCGCCTGGCTCAGGGTCCAGCACCTAGTAGGTGCTCAGTCCAGGTTTGTGACACAAACAGACGAGTGAAAACCTGGACAGAATTTAGCAGAAGTTGGGACACGTTTCCCGTCAAGGGCTAGAAAATACCTATATTCTGGTTTCCGGGGTGCGCCTCTGCACCAGGACACAGTGCAGCCGATGCGCGCGGCTGGGTTCCAATAAAGCTTTATGCACACGGTCACCCCAAGCTCCAGCCCCAGCCCCGAGCCCCAGCCCCGAGCCCCGGCCAGGAGATGGCTTTGCAGACTCCTGCGGGAGCTGGTGCTGCGGTCCCCGGGGCTGGCAAATAGCCCAGGCGGGGGGTCGCGCCCCTCCCTGGGCTTCACACCCCGCCGAGCCCACTTTGTGTGCGGCCCATTGTTGTGCCAGAAACGTGTGAAAAGGTAACATTTAATTTAGGTCGTGCATCTGGAGCAGTCGGGGAGCCTTCATCAAGCTGTATTTAAATTTCTGCGTTCCACACCAGCGCCTCCAAAATTGTTAAGCGGCGTCGCCTTCGCGGCTCTCCGCCACCTCTCCCCCCGCTGCAGCCACGCTTGACGCGCGGGCGCCTGGCGTTTCCTGAGGGCGGTGGCTTGGCCACGCGGGATCCCCGCCGCCGTCGCCTGCAGCCCGCTCGCTCGCGGGGAAGCCGAGACTGTCCCAGCCCCCGGCCCCTTTGTGACGGCGCCGGGCGGCAGCAATTGTGCTTGTAATCGACTGCCTCTAAGCAGGTGAGCATTTATCTCAGTCAGTTACCCCTTATAATTACTGTATTGAACCTAGTTGTCTATAAAATGAATGGTTTGTTCAGACACTTTACCCAAAGAGTTCATTAGGGGTTAAACAAAATGCAATCCCATTTGCAAAGAGTATAATAAATTGTTTCATCTGTGAATTTAGCTGTTCTCCCTAATGCAGACATGGGTGTTACAGAGGCTTTCCCTTGATAGGGTTATGGGTTAATGAAATGCCTTTTCTGTTGCTTATTTTCCTCTCTTCTGTGCTGAGTGATAAGTAGCTAACCAACGAAGCTTGTAATTACAATCTTACAGAAACCGGGCCGATCTGTATATAAATCTCACCATCCAATTACAAGATGTAATAATTTTGCACTCAAGCTGGTAATGAGGTCTAATACTCGTGCATGCGATAATCCCCTCTGGATGCTGGCTTGATCAGATGTTGGCTTTGTAATTAGACGGGCAGAAAATCATTATTTCATGTTCAGGAAAAAATTAGGTTGGTGGGAAGTTAATTTTCTCACCGCTCTCTGAAGCGTAGACAAGAATTTAATGATTTAATCATGATTGTTAGCTCTTTTGCAATCAATTTGTAATGATTGTGTAGCAACTCTCTTCAAGGGAAACTGCTTTGGAGGGTAGTTTGCAAACAGCCGTCCAGGGGGGCTGGCCTTCGAGGGACACGTGACTCCAAGCCCGTTGAAGCTGTCTTCATCCTGACTTGGAAAGCCGGCGCCTTCCCTTCGGGCCTGTGGAGACGCCTCGCCCCAGCGGGGTCTGGGGAAACGGAGCCGGTGGGGTGGCAGACTTCCAAGGGAGCCCTGGTCCACGCTCAGGGAAGGCAGATGGAGTCCTTAGCAGCTAAAGCCACAGGAATAATTCTGTTGGTACCTTGCAGTGTAGTTAATAGCACGTTCTTTCCGTTTCTTTGAGCTGTTTAATTCTAGAGACACATGCTACCTGGTTGGCAGGACAAACAACCTCAGTAGAGGTCTCCACCTCAGTTCCTTGCTCAGTCCAAAGGCTCCTCCTGGGGGAGGGAGGAGAGAGGTGCTGGGGAGTAATACTGGCCAAATTAGATTGTTACAGTTGTGCTCATGTGCAAATATGTTGCAGCAACTCCCCCACCACCATGTCCAACTATAAGGGCCAGTTTGAAATATGGAAAAAAGCAACAAAGTCTCCTCCTGTCTCAGCCTGCGTGGTTCCTGTGATTCCTTCAGGCTCTGAGATCCCAAGGAAGCTCCCCTTCCATGCATGAACCACCGGCCTTCTGGAGAGGCCAAGAGCTGCAGATTTGGGGTCCAGCCTCTGGCCAGGTCAGCTGAGATCTCACACGGGTGGGGGATGGGGAGCAAGCTCGTGACTGACAGCAGCCTTCACACCTCCTCTCCTGGACCTCCGATCTGCTCCACCACTTGCCCAGTGTAAGCTCTTCTGAGACCCCCAGTTGCCAGGTCCAACCAGTTCAGAGACTTTACCTTTTCCCAGAAAGGATCAGGAGAACCTTTAACTTCAGGCGACTTCTGTTTGTAGCCGGGTTAACGCTCTTGAGGCTGAGAGCCAGAAAGCCTGACCTCCTGCTTGGAAGGAAAGACAGAGGCAGAACAGACTCTAATTAATATTTCAATAAATTATCCCCCCGTATTGACTCGGGCTTCCTCCTGTGTGTTCACTCAATGATTTATTTTCTCAATCCCCCAAACACACTTTCCCTCCCGATGCTGGATGGTGTGATTATCACTTGGAGGTGTCTGGTTGTTCGTTGAAGTCAATTCTAGATTTTATTAAGCTCTAGCCAGATGCTTACGGCTGAGCAGAGGATTTCCTGTGTGTGCCGGGAGGCGGGGTGGGGAGGAGGAGATGACAAACAGTGTTAACATCTATTACTACATTTTATTGAATCTCATCGACTCCATCCATGGTAAAATGCATCATTATTTTATGTACTGAGAAAGCGAAAAGTCATTGCCGAATAAAGTGTGTGCAATGCTTCTTGAATCATTTAGAATTTTTATTTTCATACTTAATGAACGTGCTCTTTTATACTCAGGTAAACAGAGGGTTTTTGTCATGAATCCCTCTCCTGCACACATAAAAAGGAAACTGTAAGTGAAATAAATCAGCAGAGGTGGTCCTGGATCGTCTGCATCTTCAGAGACCAACTTTCTGAACCCAGGAGTCATTGATGTCTGTGTTTCCTTTAAAGAACGCGGCACTATTATCTTCAAGATTTTTTTTCTAGGAGCAATGACACCCGTGCACCGACTCCTCTCTGCACTCGCAGGCTGCACTGATGACATCATAATTGTTCCCGGCCAACACGGATGCCAAGGTCAATGATGTTCAAATATCTTTAATAAGCATTCATCTCAAAATTAACGAAATGTGATTAGTATCCGTTCTTGGACACCAAGGACAGTTTTTCAGCCAGGGCAGGTGGGGTGGAGGCGGAGGGCCTTTGAGGTAGGTGTGGTGAGGGAGAAAGAGCAAGGTCAGGCCAAGGCTGCGTGGATCCGCTCTATTGCCGAGGTGAGATCGGCTGTGTGCTAGGTGGGCCGGGCTGAACTCTGAGCTCTGAGCTCCAGAATTTCTACAGTTTCGATTTCTTTGTAGGGATTGACTCACGGACATCTGCACCTTCCTCTGTAGTGTTAGCTCCTGCAGGAGAAGGGCTGCATCTGCTTTGCTTCCCAGACCTGGTACCACGTATGCACGTGGTCAAGGGCTCACTCTCACCCTGGAGTCTGGGTATAGTAGAAAGCAACACCAATCCCTGCTGAGGGGTGCAGTTGCCCCCTCTCCCCCAGCAGGTGTGGTGACAGCGAACCTCCTGTACAAGATACACAATGGACCACGGCGCACCTAGTGTGCCCTTTGGGATCGTGCTGAATGGCATTGGTTGGAATCATTCCTCCTCTTTCTCCCGGGTTTCCTCTCTCAATCCCAGCCCCCGGGTACTTTGTCCCTGGAAGACTGTCCCCCTCTTTCAACCCCTTGCCTTGAGGCCCTATGATCCTCTTCTGTCTGGTGGCATCTCCTGATGACTCCAGGGTCATTCATCTGGACTCTGCAGCCGTACTGAGAAACCCCAAGAGAGCAGAGAGGGGCAAGACCCTTTTATGCAGCCATTCAGGGCCATTCTGGGGCCAGACACTTTGAGGGTACACAAGCCATCCTTGGGGCCGTGAGCCAGTTCATCAGCTCTGTTCTTATCTTACTCTTGACTTCAGTTTTCTCTCTAATCATTGATTTACTTTTTCTTCTTTTATTTTATTTTTGGGGTACTGGAGATTGAACTCAGGGCACTCGACCACGGAGCCCTATCCCCAGCCCGATTTTGTATTTTATTTAGAGACAGGGTCTCACTGAGTTGCTGAGTGCCTCACTGTGGCTGAGGCTGGCTTTGGACTCGAGATCCTCCTGCCTCAGCCTCCTGAGCTGCTGGGATTAGAGGCATGAGCCACGGCTCATGGAATTTCTCTTCCTTTAAAAAAGAAGTTCAAAATCTGGTAAAACCATCACGACATAAAAGTTCCATCTTCACCATTATAAACTGCACGGTTCGGCAGCATTGAACACATTCACCCTGCTGTGCCACGGCCATCGCCTTTCATCCACAGACGTCTGCCCCCATTAAACACTAACTCCCTATTCCAGCCTCAGCCTCAGCCCCTGGGGCCGGCCCGCCATGCTGCTTTCTGTCTGCAGGTTCCACTTCTCATCCCTGCCTCACAGAAGTGGAACCAGGGGTCCATCCACCGGGAGCCTGTGTTAGACTCCCTTTCCTTGTTGGGACTGACCATGTTCCCTGGTGGGCACCCCACATCTGTCCAGCCTCTCATCCATTGATGGGTGCTTGGGTTGCCTCCACCTTTTGTCCTGCTGTGAAGAAGGTCACCATGAACATCGGTGTACAGATCACTCCCTGACGCCCTGCTGTTCTCCCCCATCTCCCAGGAGTGGAACTGCTGGGTCACCTGGCAGTGCTGTCTTGGAGGACCGGCTGCCATCTTGTTTTCCGCAGTAGCTGAATCACTTTGGTTCCCACCAACCACGCCCGAGGATTCCAGCTTCCCCCCATCCTCACCCACCCATCATTTGGTAGCCATGGGAATGGTGTGGAGCTGGGATTCTTCTTCCTGAACCCAGAAGTCCCACCTGGAACTCTTTCTGGTGAGGAAACAATTTGACATTTTGGGTGAAGCTCAGCAGATAATGCTTAAGCACCTCTGTGGACAAGAGCTATGCTGAGCGCTTTGTGGGGAGGACGCGGGGATAGTTAGGAAAAGGTATCCAAGTCTCTTGCTCCCACTGCCTGGCTGTGCCTGTCACTTCCCTGGTGGGCCTCACCTGTGACCTCGGCGTGACAATCACGGGGTCTACTTCATTGTGAGGGCTAATTGATTTGATGTATTTAGTGGGATTGGCGTGGACCTGAAGAGGCCTTCTTTTCCTTATTCTGAATCATCCTTAATTTTTTTTTTTGAGTGTGTTTGTGGTGCTGGGGATTGAACCCAGGGCCTTGTGCATGGGAGGCAAGCACTCCACCAACTGAGCTATGTCCCCAGCCCCACAGCACCCACTTCTCTCATGCCACAGGGCACTAACAGGACCCTCTTGGGCCCAGGCCCTGCCGCCCTGTCTGGTCCCGTCTATCCTGGGGAGAAATGTCCCAGATATTACCAGAAGTTTCTCTGGATAATGAGAATGCAGAATTCTTTCACTCTTTCCCCCCGTTTTACAAGCTTTGAAGAATGAACATGATTATTTTATCACCGTGGTCAGATGCTGTCACATCGTGTGATATTTCACATTACCACAGACTTCTAGTGTAAAGTCATAAAGTCCCTTTCCTCTCCTCTTCCCCCTGAAAATCCGGGTCAGCCAACCACAGATGAGGAGGTGCAGGAATAAACTCGAATGCTGACGTCCTCGCCTCGTCACTGTCCTCCTACACAGGACAGAGATCACTGGGGACACGGACCGTCCCTCCTCAGTCTCCGGGCGGGACCTCTTTTCTTGAAAACTAAGCTCCCCTCCTGCGAGGCCTCTGCCTGGGTCAGAGATGGGAAGTGAGGCTGGTGTCTGGACAGCAGCGGGGACCCGGCTGGGCAGGCCGGCTTGACTCCGGGGAACAGAGGGGGGGACAACCTGGGATCCAGCCTCCTCCCTACGTCGGGGAGATGTCCAGTGACCCTGAGCTGAGTGCAGAGGGCTTGGGACAGAGGGACAGGGGCTTGTCCAGCAAGGACAAGGGAAGGCCCCACATGAGCCCCCACCCCAGGGTGACGAGGAAGAGCCACACCAGGGTTCACCCACTCTTTCAGGAAGAGAGGGACAACACGGTCACCCAAAGCAAACACACACATGAAAACTCCGCTGACGAGAACCCAGTAAGCCCAGCCCAGGAGATAAAGGGGGAGAGAGTAGAATCCAGCGTTGGGAGGAAAGCCGCGGAAACCAGAGTCCACTCTGTGGCCAAGAGATGAGAGAAACCAGGAAAGTGACCTGCAAGAGAACGCAGAATATAACTACAAAAACGGGAGAAGACGGCGGCCATGGAAGACAAGGGAGGCCAGACCACATCCACGTGGGACTAGAGGAAAGGACTGAACCAGGAGAGCAGAAATAAGTCCTCCAAGAGGTCGAGAACACATTGGTGAGAGAGAGACTTGAACTGTACGTGGAGTGAGCTCAGGAAGAAGAGCCGGCTCAGGGGCAAAGGGCTATGATCCCAGCAGGGCTGGAGGCTGAGGCAGGAGGATCGCTGGTTCCAAGGCAGCCTCCGCAACTTAGCGAGGCCCTAAGCAACTCAGCAAGACCCAGTCTCAAAATAAAATGTAAAAAACAGGCTGGGGTTGTGACTTGGTGGCTAAGTGCCCCTGAGTTCAATCGGTGGTACTGTACCCCTCCTGCCAAAAGGAAAAAGACCACAGGGTCCTGTGGTATTGTGGGTGCTGGGGGGAAAATAAACAGGGGAAACCTGGGCGGTCCTCAAATTGATGTAGAGCGATTAGGAGCTCACAGACAATGGAGCGACATTTATGATGAGCTGATAAGAAAAAATAAGACCTCAGAATTTCCACCCGCCACCTTGTCCTTCCTGAGCAGGTAGCACCGACCACCCAGGGCAGAGGGTCTGAGATGTGGAGGACCATGGGTCCCCACCTGCAAAAGGACAAAATGAAGACCCAGGTAACGACGTCCAACCAACCTACGGGTGAACCCAAGAGGAGTCTGGAGTGGGAGGGTGAATAAGAGGGGCATTGAGTGGCTTGAAAAGTGCAGCTGTAACCGATATTGGGGAGAGCGTGAGAGAGGAGGAGGAGGGAGGGAAGGAATTTGAATTCAGAAGCCCAAAAACTCCAAAAATGACTGAATCACGCTCTCGAATGACCTCAACCAGCAGCAGCCTCAGGACAGCCCAGAGGCTTGCAGGGCTGCGGGAGGGAGTGACACCCGTCCTTCCTGCGCCTTCTCTTTTTGGTGCGGTACCTGGGATCGAACCCAGGGCCTCGCACTCGCTGTCTCCGCTTTGACGTCGAGTTCCCCGAGAAGCGGCTAACTGCAACGTCATTCTTGGATTAAGAGAAACACTGACTGACTCTGCTGGGTTGGCTTTGACCTTCAAAACCAGAAAGGCCCAGCCCTGCTACCCCCCCCCCCCGCTCTCCCCTGTCCCCCCATCAGGGACAAGAGAATAAAAAAGGCCCCCGTGGAGCCCACCCCCCTCCAAGATTGGACCAACTCTCAAGGAGACCGAGGCAACTCAGGGAGGCAAGTCCTCTCTTTCTACGTCCTAAAGCTTATACAAACCAGAACTTGAAAGTGAGTCTACTAAAACCCTGTGGCGCTTGGCTAAGGTAAGCTGCCCCGCATTTTAGCTATGACATGGCTTGGCTGGCCAGCGGTTCTGCTATGAAGAGAAGTTGTCCTTTCCTCTGGGCAGATGTGGCCCCATGCTGTGTGTGTGTGTGTGTGTGTGTGTGTGTGTATAGGCTGGTTTGGGGTGGCCCGTTGGGAATCTTTGTGCAGTACACATCATGCACAACCATACATTGACACTCTGCCATGACAAACCATGAAAAGTCTTCTTCCCGTGTGTGGGTATGGGAGAAGTGGCGGGTGGTACCCAACTCTAGAAAGCTGGGGTGGTATCTAGGAAGCCAACAGCATGTGCCAGAGCTAAGAAGTGAAGCGGGATAGGAGGTCATAGAATGGTGGGGCTCAGTCGCAGAGGGTGGTCCGCACCCAGGCTGCAGTGGGAGGAAATGACCCAGGAGAAGGTTCTGGGCTGAGGATGGGCAGGCGGAGTGCGCCAGCCCTTAGCACCTGTGTCGTTGGCCAGCCACTGGGAGGGGACTCACCCTGCTAGGGCAGGGCAGGAAGCGTGGACCCCTGGAGGCAAGGCCACTGCCCACGTAGCAGGATTTGGCAGTGACCGACTCAGAGCCTGCCTTCAACCCTGCTTCTGTCACGGTGGCGGATGAGGTCTTTAATCAGTTCCCTCCCCAAACTTAACCGGCAGAGTAAAGCCTGGGCTTCGCCAGGCGACCTTCTTGGACCAATGGGCTGCCAGCCATTGCCAAGTCCGCAGAGGCTTGACCTGCCGGCTGGGCTGCTTGTGCTGTCCCTGCCCTGCGGATGGACCTTGGGGGGGAGGAGGGGGTCTGAGTGGGTTCCCAGGAGCTCCTGTGTTGGAAACTTACTCTACCAAGTCCGTGGAGTTTGGAGGTCGGTCTTTGGGAGGTGACTAGGAAGAGATGAGGTCATGAGGGTGGGGACCCCAAGGGCATTAGTGGCTTCATAACAAGAGAAGGGGAGACTACACTAGCCCGCTTGCTCTGTGACACCTGTGCCATGTTGTGATACACCAAGAAGGCCCTCCCCAGATGCCAGCGCGTGCCCTGGGACTTCCCAGCCTGCAGCACCGTGATGCAAAAACCTTCCACAGTTTATAAAGTACCTGAGCTCGGCTATTTTGTTATGCCACCTGAAAGCAGGAATAAGAAGAGACACCATCATAGCGACTTCCTCCGTCACAGCGTCTGTGCCTGAAGGACATCTGGAGCTGGCCCTGCACAAATGGATCTCCAGGTGTCACTCTGAGCTCCTCCCAGAGCCACTTGTTGGAGTGGTTCTGATGTCAGTGTCTCCCGGAGTAGAGGCCAGTGGTGCCCAGCCACACAGGGCTCCTATGGCCGGTGGCAGTGAGGAGCCGGGGATTTCCCCTTGACCACTGGTTCCTGAGACTCCTGTGGCTCGCCTGCAGCGATGAGCACCTGTCACTGCTCTGGGATCAGTTGGGGACCAGAGGGGCTGGGGGACCTCTTCCAATCAGCCTGAATCTGCTGTGACGGCGGGGCCCACACGAGGGTGTCCAGGCCCACACGAGGGTGTCCAGGCCCACACAAGGGTGTCCAGGCCCACAGGAGGGTGTCCAGGCCCACACGAGGG